ACACAGGTCTCCGGTAAGGTCTTAGTGGTATCCCTTTTCCATCCATTGGTGCCAGGTCTGCGCGCGATACGTGCAGGGCTGGATTGATGGGAATGGGGTCATGCACCCGCCGGGAGGCCCAAAGCTTCAGGAGACAATAGGCGTCACATTCATTGAGGCCAACGGAAGGGTTAGTGCACAGAAGGAGTTTTGCAAAAAACTATTGTACTAACATCATGGAATGCGCGGGACATTCGTGGAACCCGGGGCTATTCGTGGACGTTTTGTGGAATGGTGGACCAGTAGGAAAACTGACTGCAACAAAATCCCAGAAATCTTCGTAGAACATCGCAGAAGGTTGTTTTGATGCACCAACTTCGTATAAGCGATTTTGGCTGGGCCTTCACAACTGAGGCCTGGAGGGGAGAAGCAGGTCCAGGACGCGTGCAGGATGGAGGGTGCAGGCAGGATTTCTCTGTCTCGAGTTCTCCGCTCACAAGCCTCAACAGTTTTCTATATACTCCTCAGATCCGGCGGGGCGCAATCCCAAACTCCTTCGATTCAAGGTCAAATGATCATCTAAGACCTAACATCAACCAGCATCACAACGGGGTTCATTTGACACGGCCCATCGCAACAGCATCTACATTTGACAGGCTGCGAGGCAGAGACAGCAGATAGTGGACGCGGTTGTCCGGGCCTGGGATCGACCGCGTTGCATTGCATTGACAGGATGTTGAAAACAGATTTGATGGTTTTGATGCTGAAATTTCGACGTGAAACGGACATTTCAAGACAGTTGAAAGACGGGGTGATGGTGTTGAGTTGCGACCTCGGCAAGTCGCGGCAAGTCACCTACTATATAGCTGAGGCCTTCAACATGAGCGAGGGATTCAGGATGTACATGGAATTCCAGTCGGGGGCCGAGATTTTCTCGTGTGGACAGGTCTGGCGCCGCAAATCTCTAGGCTTTGGTTTCAGCAACGCAGAAGGGGTGGATTGTGGACACCTGTGAAAAATACCATGTTCTTTGCTGTGAGTGCGTTCCCCTTAATAAAGTCTCCGTGACGCGCAGGTGATCCGCAAACGAAACCAGGGTAGGTCCAGGGGGCCCTAGCTCTGACATACCAAGACGACCCATGTAGGACATGTTTAAACACAGGAACGAGCGATCAGTTTGTTGTCCCACATTGCCAAATCACTTGTTGCTGGTTTTGGAATCTCAAACAGCATCTCAAGAAAGGAACACCCACCCAATGTGACTAAGTTGGATTCTCCTCCTCGGCTCCGGTTTGCAGCGACGTCCGCCCAGACAGCGATGAGGAGGCCATGAAGTACAGTAGAGTGAGGCCGGGCGTTATGGGGATGGCGCCGTCGCTTCCAAGGGTTTCACATACTCTGACATTGGTTTGCTGTTAACTCGAACAGAAAGGCAAAGAGTCCAAGCATTTGTAGGTGTTTGAACAAATTGGTTTCACATTTGACTGCGGAAGCTAGTTACTGCATTAGCCCTTTACTGCAAGAACGGTAAGGTGCAAGGGTCCGAAGAACAGAACTGTTTAACAAACGCACTAGCACTTTACCAAAGCTAAGGAAACCTGTTTTGGGGGATATCATGCGAACAACCACCATGGAAACAACAAAAGGAAAAGTGGAGTCACAGCGCGTGCAAAAGTTTCCATCCGCGCAGGTACAGAAGTTTGCGCCCAAACTTCCATCCAGTCGATTTCCCTAGCTTCGCTGGCGTGACTAGGAAATCGACCGTCACGCATCTGAGCCTGATAGGTCGGCCTTGATAGCTCCCCTGCGACTTGAAAGTTGAGAAAACCAGAAACTCTTAGTTACAGAGGTGGACACACACACAGAACGCCGATATCGGCGCTCTGGGGGAACTCACTAATCACCTAAAAAGCCTTAGAACGAAAGGAAAGAAAGACAGAAAGGAAAACGCAAAGGAAAGAGAGAAAGATAGGTGTAGTGACAAGGCCCACTAGTTACGAAACCTGCTAGTTACTGACTACTTAGCCGCATGAATTAAATGCACTAGTTAGCGAGCGGGACGTACGTCTTAAACCGCCAGGGTAGCTAGGAGTAGAAAAGGAGAAACAGAAGGAAAGGTACCGACGCACAAGTGTGTCGAGTACCATTCCTTCTGTTACCCTAGATAGCGGGTGGGATAGAAACACGAATTAGGTTGCAAGGTGGGGGGGCGTGGAAAGACACAAGAACTGTAACGCGTCCGATCTCAAAGTGGTCGTGGTTGGAAAAGTGAGACAGCGCATTTGTGAAAGTGAAATCAAGCTGCAAACATGAACGTGAATCCGATCAAAGAGAGTGGAATTGCCGTGAAGCCCGGCGGCATAAGTTGCAGGGAATACAGTGGTGAAACCAAATCCGTTAAGAGAATCCAAGGTCTGGTGGAGACGGTCGAAGCAGTTACACGAGTTCCGGGTTCTTTGTACAGTAAGTAAGGGGTCAGTTCAGATGCTTAATTTTCCTGTTCACATGGCAGCTCAGCTGCCCCGAAAGATCCCCAGTTCAGACGAAAAAGAGAGAGTCTGGTGTTAGTGCACAGCTTGTGAAGTGGTGAAAAGTACAGATATGACATTGTATATATATAACTATAATTGCTATGAATATACCGTATTTGTTTCGCTATTTATATATGTATAACACAAACTCAGAGGTGTTAATTCTGTCATCGAGAAAAACCAGCTCCAGCTCCTGATCCACCTGGCCTATCGCAGGAGGAACCGAAGAACATGGGCCCTTGGTCCTATGTGGCGCCTCGCCTCGCGACAGCGCTACGAGAACTCACGCCCGATCGCCAGGACGGACCGGGTGGATGATGTGGTTTCTTCTACGTTCGTAGCTTCTTGCTACTAGTAGCTACCTGCTCCGTTCGTAGTACGGCCGGGAGCCCCTAGTAGCGTCTTTGCTCCTAGTAGCGATGCCAGGAGCCCCTTCATCATCCGAAAAGTAACACATTGGAAAACCCAGATACGTATGGGCTGCCTTCAGTTTCATGACTTCATCCTATGGTAAATGCCACAAAGGGGCGGTTTTCTTCTTTCATTGGTTTTGCATGGTTTGGTGCCTTTTTGTTTCGCTTCTCACGACCGTACGGTCCAGGAGCGTCCCTGGCGCTGTATCGCGCGACCGGCGGCGGCCAGTCCCGCCACGCCACTCTTCAAGGTGCATCGCCAGGAGGTGCCATCCGCGTGGCGGGAGGGTGACAGACACCGGAGGAGAGACAGGTGAACGACTGGGCCGGTCTGCAGACCGCACAACTGGACCGGTCGGTGGAGAGACAGGTCTGACGACATCACTACAAGGTCTGCTCTGAGGGATCATCCTGATTCAATAACAACAATTGATGACAGCAGGCAACAATATGTTTTGTCACAAGAAACTACCTGAACGTAAGAATTGCACTCGCTAATCTCGGCGCTTTCTCAAGCCAGCTGAAGGGATTTGAAGGGTAAATTAACATTGCAGTCCATACTACGGAACTCCGCGTACAGCGAGTGTTAGATGTTCGACCACACAATTCAAGGCTGTTTCAGTCTTTCATGTTATGAAGACCCTGGGGTTTTGAAAAGAGTCAATAGAGCTCGTGTGGTGCCATTTGGCCAGCTGCCTGCTGCCTGCCACCTTCTACATCATGTCTCAGACAGGGACCTTGAAAAAGTTCTTCTCAGAGAAAGGGATAGGCTACATCGCGCCTGATGATGGTACCGAAGATGTCTTCATTCATTTCCAAGCCGTGATCAATGGAGGTGAGGCAGATATGATTCCTGGAGCCAAGTTGAGCTACGATTTGGAGATCAATGATCGGAACGGGAAGACCAAGGCAGTCAGAGTGAAGATTGAAGAGCCTGGCGACCCAAATGGCTCCTGGAAAGGTGGAGGTGGCGGCGGTGGCGGTGGTGGTGGTAAAGGGTATGGAAAGGCCCAAGGCGGAAAGAGAAGCCATGGAGCTGGCCCTTATGGACAACCGAATTCGTCATATGGCCTTGCCAACTTGGCTGCGGGCTATGACATGAGTGCTGACTACTGGGCTTCCGTCTACCAGACAATGACAGGTGGAGGAGGCTCCGGCGGTGGCGGGGGCAAAGGGCAGGGCATGAATCCATTCATGTACTACTGAGACAGTAAGACAGGCTGCTCTATGCAGAATCTTCGTGATTCGACCAACAGTGAGACAGTGAGACTGGCTGCAAAAATGTTTTGAATCTTCATGATTCGACAAGAGTCACTCAGCAACTCGACCGCAGAGTGGGTCGAAAGGCCGAGGGGTTGTGCCCGAATTAAGCATCCCTTTCAGTGGACCCTATGAAGCGCAATGGAAACTGTCGGAAAAAGGATTTTGTCATGCCTGCCAGGTATTGCCAGATATTCTGTGAGGTAGAGGCTTGGGTGTGTTAGAGTTGAAAAGAAGCCGCCATTCAGCTGAGATCACAGTTTTGGAGCTGCTGCAGCGAAGGCTCAAGATGCAGTTTGTTCTCTTTGCCAGTCATAGACAATAAGGTACGGTAAGATCAGCGTCAGAAAGTGGGACAGGACAAGGCATGCTTGTCTCCAGCTTACGAACACAAGGCTGTACTCAAGGCTGTATTGCTTAAAACATAGGATTGTGAGCCCCATCCTCGCCCCATTCCCATTCGATTTAGAGTTTAGAGCAATAAATACTTGCTCCGGTTTGTTCCTATTGGGCTACCTGTCGCGAGGTTTTTGCTCTTCTTAGACCTACTATCTAGTCTCATGGTTCTTAAAATCTCCATCAATTGAAGATCATAGTCACATCTTTTTAACATGGCCTGCGCCTGTCCGACCCGGGAAATCACAGGCAGAGTAGCTGCGGGTAGCTGGGGCGACGCTTCGCATCTTCGTTTGCGAAAAGTGAAGACATTCGTTCGGTGGGCCTGATTGGGTCAAAGAGCCCTTCATGTTTAGTTTTGTTCTTGCAGATCTTGCAGGTGCATTCCATATCCAAGGGTAGCTTTTCTTGCTATGGTCAGGCGATACAGTCCTTTTTTTCTGCTTTGAGTGTGGTAGGATTCTGCTGTTCAGTGCAGGAGTGGATGCGTTGATGACTGGCCATTCCTGAGGCAGTGTGTGGGTGGGAGACACAAAACGAGGCCAAGCAGACACTGTCTGACGGGTTTCCTTCCAACGCCAAAGGTGATCCCTCCACAAAGGTGATCCAGAAAGTCGGGTGTGTCTCAGAGATGAGTGTAATATGCTACTAGTAACAAGTGCATCGCTACTAGTAACAAGTGCATCGCTAGTAGTAACAAGTGCCTTACTACTAGGAGCAAAGAAGCCATTAGGAACAAGTGCCACGCTAGTAGTAACAGGTGCCTTACTAGTAGTAACAAGAAGCTATTAGGAACAAGTGCATCGCTTCTAGCAACAAGTGCCTTACTAGTAGTAACAAGAAGCTAGTAGTTTTCCAGTCATCCTTGGTGCGAAGCTGTGAGCTTGTGAAGCTGCGAAGCTGTGTGCCTGCTCAAGCGGCAGCGGATGTGTGACTGCTCGGCGGTGTAGGAAGACTTGAGCCTCACACCATGGCTGGCTATCCCAGCAGTCAAGCTGCAGCTTGCCGGCAAGTGGTCATGTCCAACCCAGGGGGGTTCATGGATGCTCCTTGGGCAAGGTGCAATGATCCAGACGGAACCCAATTGCCCCTTCCCTTTCAGCGCCTACTGAGGATGTACTGTATCTAGTACTGTACCTGTATCGTATATATTATATATATAAAGTAAAATGTGTTTCCCACAGTGAATGGTAAACGTTTATTTTCCAGGCAAGCTGAGGGAGTCAGGACATAAACAGGACGAGCACCCAAACCGCAGGTACTCACGGTGGTCGCGTTGGTCACAGGGGTTTGGGGTGCGCCAGGTTGAAGGGACGAGAGCTTTGAGTAACTCATCATGACTCCCCATATTATCCACATATATTATTAATCCCATAGACGGATTATAATTCTATAGGCTGACGACTATCATTCTAACAGGCTTTATTCGTCGTTGGGCAATAATTTCCACCGAACTTCATTTAGGCTGCAAAGTCCGCATGTTTTTATATAAAAATAACATCAAAGAACGTCTAAGCTGCAGCCTGGGGTGAAAAACGCCGAGACAAATATTACTGGCTTTGAATGAAAAAGTCTTGAGAACATTTGAGAAATAAACCGCTTGCCACCCGATACTCATATCATTCACTCTCCCCCAAAAGGCAGGGTATCAACCCAACTACTGATTGTCAGTAGTGAGGGGGAACGGGTAAGAACGCATAAGTCAAGGGCAAGAATGCCTAAGTAACGGGCAAGAGCTTTGGCAAGAACGCCTAAATGATGGGAAAAACGGCCACACACAAAGATAACAACACCATGAATCGAAGCATAGAAACACATGAGACACGCAAGTGGCAAGTGTAGCATCAAGTGAATTCCTAACATACAAATGATTTTCATCACTGTGGAAATTCCGGGGATCCTTATTGCCACTAAAAGGACAAGAACGCCAAGTAGGGACAAGAACGCCTGTGGGGGCCAATACAGGGTAAACTGGCATTGTGAATATTTTTGCTGCTGGGTGGTGGGAACACGATGTGTATATGTGTTGTGCTAGAGAAGATAATGTAGTTCAGACTTGGACGCCGGAAGCGGCTTGGATCGTTCTATGGCCCAAACCTACAGTCTTTTCTCTCGATCTATTTGGAAACCAAACCCAGCCCAGTAAATCAATAGGACTTGCCGCTAGCTAGTAATTATAATCTATCAACCCGCTCAGGTGTCGGATATTGGGATCATTGGCAGTGGGGTCATGGGCTCGAACCTGGGCCTCAACATCGCAGACAAGAGTTGCTTGCTTGAGACATACGCAGCCAAGTGGTCTTCCTTTGTTTGTTTGTTTTTAATTAACATATATACATGTGCTTGCATGTGTTTAGCATCACCCATACTTGCTTTGGTGATCTTTTTGTGGACGTGGTGCAGGACTTTTTGGAAACACTGGTAAGGACACCTGGTGGTAGAACCCCCTTGATTGGGTTCTAACCCCTGCAGTCCTTCCTCCACTCAGGTTACAATGGGCAGCCGTTCCATGTGTCACTCTACGACCTGAACGCTGAACAGGTGCAGTCGGTTTTGGCCACCAACTCCAGCTATAGCAATTTGCATGGTTTCTTTCTCCACAGTTTGAGTCTCTTTTCATGCTTTTTCCCTACCAAATAGATAGACATACCCTCTCAGAAAGTAGTTGGGGATGTTTGGGTTGGGTATGGTTTGAGGGTCCGATGACCTTTCTTTGCGTCGGTCTGTGGATCCCAAGGGGGCACTTTGTTACGACACACCGACGCACCAAAGAGGGCTTGGGAAAGTGGCTTGAGAAGGGAACGATGTGAGCAAACGCCTTTGGACAAAAATCCCGTTGTGTTTGCTCTCAAAGATCGAAACCATCTCTTCCGGTAGATAACAGCAATGCACACGTTTTCTACTTCGAGTCCGAAGTTGGTGCAACTTCAATGAAACATGGGACCATGGTCTTTTCGTCTTGCATAACGGTTAACACCCTTCGAACCCACCGAATGCTCAGCTTTTCCACCCCCGTTCTTCGACTCCGCGCCCAGTGGGTCCGAGGTTTTGGAGGACAGGAGAAGCTGAAGGACTTCGTCGGGTCCCTGAAAGCCCCGCGGAAGGCGATCATACTGGTCCCGGCGGGCAAAGCCACTGATGCGGTGATTGAGGACTTAGCCGGACTCTTCGAGAAAGGCGACATCATCATTGATGCTGGGACGACGGTTTAGTCTAGCGACTAGAAAGGGGGGCAGGAGATGATTTGATGTTTTTTTTGATCTTTTTCAGCAAGATGTAGGACCTACATGACAAACAAAGAATCAATGATTTCCAGTCCCTGGCTGGTCAAGAATCTCACAAATATAGGTCATGATTTGTTTTCTTTCTGATTCTGAATAAATATATATATATATCAATGGTAAACGTTGATATAGATACATATATATATATATACAATATTGGATATTTTGTTACGTACTGTTACTCTCTTGTTTTGGTTTCATGGCCTACAAACTCGTCCCGCGTCCCGTCGAGGATGTGGGCAATGCCAACTTCCGGGATCAGATTCGACGCGCCGAGTCCTTGGAGGCTCGAGGCCTTCGCTTTTTGGGCATGGGAGTGAGTGGTGGTGCGGAAGGAGCTCGCAAGGGGCCGGCCTTCTTCCCTGGAGGCGCATCCGGAACCAGGGCTCTGGTTGGGAGGGGTTTCAAAAGGGAGACCTCTGTGTGGTGGAGGAAGCACTTGGGAGATTGCTTGTTAAGGATCCAACTTGTGTTCAAAGAGATCTAAACACGAGGATGGCCTGACCCTGTTGGAGGCACCTTGAGCGTTTGGAACGATGTAAAGCACATTGTAGAGGCAGCAGCAGCAAAGGCCACAGATGGGCGGCCCTGTGCCACTATGAATGGCAAGGGTGGAGCCGGCTCATGTGTAAAGATGTATCACAACGCTGGGGAGTATGCCGTCTTACAGATTTGGGGTGAAGTGCACGAGGTGCTCAAAGCATATGGCGTCAGTGGGGATTCACAAGCCAAGCTGCTGGAATCTTGGAAGACTAGGAAAGGCGGCCGATACGAAGGGCTTTTGGCTTCATACATGCTTGACATCACCGTGGAGGTGGTGAAAATCAAGGACAGTGAGAGTGCCGGTGGTAGCAACGACGGCTCCCTCCTCATCTCAAGAACCATGGACAAGACTGACTCGAAGGGCACCGGCCTTTGGAGTGTGGTGGAGGCTTTGGAGGCCGCTGTTCCGGCTCCCTCCTTAGTTGCAGCCGTGCTGGCACGGCAGATGTCAATGCTCCGTGCGGAGCGGTTAGCCAACTCAGCTGCTGTGAAGCTTCCAAGTGCTCAGACAGGCTCATGGACTGCAGAAATGGAGGAAGATCTCTTTTGGGCGGCGGCCTTTGCCATCATCGCCTCCTACGCGCAGATGTTCCAATGCCTCCGAAAGATGGATGAGAAGTTTGAGTTCGGGTTGAATCTCCCTGCCACCATTGCCACCTTCAGAGCAGGTTGCATTTTGCAGGGTTTCTTGTTGGAACCCATGACCAAAGCCTTTGAAGACAATCCAAGCTTGGAGAATCTACTCACAGCTTTTGGACCCGAAATCAAAGAGTATCTACCACGCTACAAGCGTTTGGTGAGCCAGGTCACTAGAGAAACCTCCGTGACCGTCCCATGTCTTTTGGCTTCTTTGGACTACATTCAGACCATGTACCTCCCAGAAATCCCCTCAGCACAGTGCGTGTCGCTGCAGCGGGATGTCTTCGGAAGACATGGCTTTGAGCGCTTAGACAAAGAGGGGCGCTTCAACGCCCAATGGCCATCCTTGCAACAGGGAGATGCCACAATTACCACCGCCACTTCAGCCCCTACGGGCAAGTAGGTGATTGTAAATAGATCGTTTTCAAGGTCCGTACACGGAGCCTTTTGTGAAAATGGATTAAGAAAGGGTCACTGGGAAGGGTCACTGGGAAGCGCAGATGTTCACAGCCTTTTCGATGTGCCCAATGTCCAACCTCTTGATTAGTGACGCCCCACCAATTGAATTGTTAAACCTTTTCATACAGAGGTTTTGCTAGTCAAGAGTTCTCAAGAGTCCACCTTCTCTCTCTCTTTTTATATCGATATACAGTAATTATTATGATGTTTAATATATAATATAAAGACCGCAGAGGTCCGACTGCGTCGTTCTGGCAGGTTGGTCCGTTGACCCGCGGACGACCTCCGAAGAGGAAGAAGAGTGGCGGTGAGCTGCGGCCGGACGAGCCTTCGACGACCGTAGAGCCGGACGCCACGCAGTGGTACACGAAAGGGGGGTACCTCTGTTGAGAGGGGCTTGAGATTTGAGCAAGCATCACCATCATTTTAGGTTCTGATCATACGTTCTATTAACACGGCCTTCCCTTAGGCCTTTTTGTTGTTGTTACTGTGTTGACTGATGTCTCACTTTGTTTCACATGCAGTCTGCATCTGGTCTCGGAGCTTTCCACTGGAGAGTGAGCAAGCGGAGAACAAAAGAAGATGCAGAGGCTTCCCATTGGATTTGGGTTGTTAAAGACGAGCCTAGGAAGAACCGGAGTAGAAAGAACACTTTCATGGGGTTTGTCCATTTGAGTCATACTGTACCCTCTCAAACCCATTCGAACAGCCGCTTCCTGAATCCCACACCCAGCACGCCTCCGCATGTTTGGCATTGACGGTTTGCGCCTTTTCTTCACTTGAAATCGAGGGTTTCAGTGGTGAATTTTTGGAAAGACCGATTTCTGAAAGACCAGGTGCGACAGCTTTTGGACATGGCCTTCTCCTTGGAGAACGAGATCTGAGAGAAGACGAAGCCGCCCGCCTTAACGGCCTTAACGGCTGCAAACCGGCCGAACACCGGCACGGCGACACGATTTCGGGGGCCGCACGGCCTGTCTCGTCGATTGGATTGAGACTGCTAGACGATACAACAGATCTTAAAGAGGGAGTAGCCTCTGATCCAATCTGGGCTCCCGATTTCTGCAGTGCGTTCAGCGATTTCTGCCCCAAAGTCGGGCACAGAGCTCGCTCCTGTGCGTTGGCTAGCATCAGTTTGTGAGGAGTCACGATCTTCCGTGTTCAAAGCCTGATTGGAAGGTGATTGGGAAGTTTGTTTCTGGAAGCCCAAAGCTATGCCACAGTGGCACAAACTAACGCGCTGACTGGGAAGCCGACACGGCACTGGTTCATGCAAGAGCATCCACAAAAAGCCCCAAACCATCTCAAATCCAATCTCCTTTGATTTCTCAACTTGAAGATCGGAATCCATGTGCATAACCTGCTCCTGCTTGCGTCACTCGTGAGCAGGGAGTCACTCGTGGCCACAGGCCGAGGCCGAAACAGTGCGTCACTCGCGGCGTTGCGCTTGGAACCCTCCAAGAACTCGGTTCGCGGCGTTTGTACGTGAGCTTCGTACGCAGTCGCGGCACACCAAGTTTCTTCGGTGCTGTCCGGCCATCGACGCCATACTCCAAGTTGTCCACCATGTACGTAGCCAGGATGAGACCTGACCTGATTCTAAGTCTAAGTGATATATCCAAAGTTAAAGTATTATCCGTTGACTTTTGGAGACTTGTCTCCAGGTCTACAGCTGCTGTTTGGGTCAGAAGGACTCACTGCTGGCTTGCGCGGCCTCCCACAAGGCGTGGCTGTCCAGATTCCACACATCCATCCCACTTGCCAGAGGAGCTCCGGTACTTCCTGCACATGAAAAGTCTCTCCCGCTTGACTTCTCGAGCCAAGGTTCACCTCTTTGACGTCGCGCAGGGGAAGCAAGTCAGAGTCTTTAAGGACTCACAGTGATGCGACACCGAACAGCGCAGCGATTGCAAGTGCCCATGTTTGAAGTGGAAGGGCTGGACACATCAGCAACGTGTGGGCCTGGCATGGGTTTAGTTTGGACATGTTTAGACATGTTTAGACTAGAAGGAGTTGGGGAAGTATGGGGAAGTTCTTCTCGTCAAAGACTGTCATGGAGGTTCATTGGCTTTGAGTGGTACATCATCAGGATAAAGACCCACAAAAGCAGTTGGGGACATGTTTTTCCTTTGTGATGCACGATGGCGAAAGTGGCCGGACATGAAGTCTGCGAGACTGGGATCAACTTTTTAGAACTGGAGTCTTGGGATGGACGCTGCTGTGGAAAGGAAGCAACCCAAAAAGACCTGGGGTATTCACAAAACTAACTCAAGACTAAATTGACATTCAGGGAGTCCACTAGAATCACTAGAACTGCTGGTTTCTACCACGCGTGGAGCAGACAATGTGATGTAGGAACCAGTCTTGGAGATGGGCGGTTTCGAAGAAGAGCCCGCCCCCCCTCACACGGGAGAAGTAATAGAAGTTGACAGCCGCACTGGGACCTCATTTTGACGCCTCCATCTCGAGAGAGGCCCTGCGTGCGCCACACTGATGCACCATGTTTGCAGGAGAGCCACACTGACGTGGTGAATCATGTGCGCTTTCACCCTGATGGCAAGCTACTTTCGGGAGCAGAGGTCTGGGAGAACAGCGACAGCTTTTGCTAAACAGCGGCCAGGAACGGGCTCCCAAACAAAGCAATGCAGAAATGGCCATAGGCGTCGATCTTCTTTTGCCAGCTTCTGGCCGCATGAATTGGAATAGGGGAACCGGCAAATTGGCTGGTCGGGTTTTCTTAGCAGGCCATGCCGGGTCAGTTTCTGGCAAGGCATGCTAGGCCGAACCAACTGATTGGCATCCTCCGTTTCCTGCCAACAAGCCTGATCTGGTGCTGCCTCGTTCCTAATCTAAGATAGACATAGACAGACCCATTCAGCGGTGTTCAGTGGAGTTCTAGGGGTCAAAACTTTGTGGAATGAGATGTGCCAGTCACTCCTCTCTGCGAAGAACAGTGCTGTGACGCACTCTTTTGCGCCCACAGAGCTCCACAGAATGCGGGAGTCCCCTGCTTCGGGTGGTGTTTCTCATTTTGCAGCCCATCAATTGGCTGCTCTTGCAAGGACAACTTGGTGGTCGTCCTCGATACTGAAAAGTCTCGAGAAGATGAAGCCTTGCTTGAGCCTTGTGATGTGTGCGCTGTTTGGGTGCGTCTTTTGGCAGTAAGTTGGGTGCATATTCCAAAGTAGATGAACAGGACTGAACATCGGAACATGGAACATAGTATGTTTTTGTATGTTTAATATTCAAGATTGTTTAAGTATCATAAGTTAAGGGCTACAGCATGATATCTTGTAGAAGACCTGAAGTGAGTTGCATTGCATGGGTGTCCACGTGCCGCAAATGACTTGAGACTTGAATCATCTTCAAGACCTTCCAAAGCTGGGAATCATCTTCAAGAACTTCCAAAAGCATCCAAAAGCTTATAGATCCAGTTTGGATTCAGTTTTGCAAGATGTATTGACCAATTCCTCTTTGGCCTGCTTGATTTACCGAACACGAGTGTCAAACAGCCCTACCGTGCAAGGCTTGGTGTGATACCCAACGACGAGTGCGTGCGGCCTCTCGTCCATCAAGCTGCAACTCAGAGACTTTAGTTAAACACCATTCAAAACACACATGCTGCGAGGGATCAACATTGGAAAGGAAAGCCGAGAAAAGGAAAGCAACAGGACAAGGAAAAGGAAAGGAAAGGACAAGGAAGGGAAAGCAAAGGAAAAAAGGAAATGGAAATGGAAAGGGAAGGAATGCAATTTGTGAATATGCTTTTTCCAGGCAGTCTAAAACGCATATTGGAGAGGAAAGCAAAGAAATGGAAAGGAACAGTACAAGGAAAGGAAATGACATCAATTTGTGAATGTGCCTGAAACCGGGCCGCGCCAGTGAGATGCTGTATGGGCATTCCACTGGGGGACTGCTGCTCTGAAACTCCAAGACCTTGGACAGTCTGAGAAAAACATCACAAAGCGCTTTGCTGATTTGACCTCGGAACAGGGCTGAACGGTTCGTTTTTCTTTCGGTTCGGTTGTGTTTGGAACATTGATCGTTGCTTACATTCGGTTCATGAACAATTTCGGTTCTGGACCTTCGCCACCTTTCGGTTCCGGTTCCGAATCGATACGGGACCCTTCCTGAAAGGGATACCATGCCAGAATTTTGGACCAGCTGCGAAGCTGGTCCCTGGTGATGTTTCACAAGATTGGCCGGGGATCCTGTGGTTCAGTTTCAAAGGAGCCCTTTCGATGACATGGAAGCGGTTTTAGTTGGTGCACGCCATTGCGTTACAAAGCTGTCCAGTAGAAATTAAAACAGAAAGGGAAGACAAGCAATGAAAGGCCCGAATTCATGTCGGGGATGGGTCGTTCAACCTGGACCCCTGGTCCACCATGTGAAAGCTTGGCCTTCCAGCTCTTGGAACTTCTGAGATCCTTCACCTTGGTGGGCCCGGATCGAAACACCTTGTGCTGCTGCTCCACCACGGAGGAGAGAGAGACAGAGCTCTTTTAGAGACCTTTCACCTGTTTTTTGGTCCGGTACTGGTATGTCGCGTTCTGCCTGATGTGCATCCAAGGAGGGTTCCAGGTACCGTGGTGTAGCTTCTGATATCTGCATGCATGAATGCATGCAGTAGTTGCTAGCTTGTGGCCTGGATGATTGTGGGTATATATATATATATCTCACCTTCTGATAGGTAGCAACTGGATTCTTTGAGAACCTCTCCACTCTCGTTCTTGGCAGCCGCGGCACGGGGGATGGTGCAGGATGTGCGCATTTGGCAGCTGGGCCCCGGGGACTTTGGAACTTTGCGAGCGCAGTTCACCAACCTCAGGAGCAGCGCAGGGTGAGGGGTGGGATGGTGTGGGTGTATTGATAGTTTGAATGAACTAGGAGACATCCCATGCGTTCCGACCCCCTGGGTTCGTTCACAAAATAGACCAGTCTACCCAGTCAGGTGCGAGAAAAGTTGATTATTTTCGAGGAAGCGAGTTGAGAGCTTGGTCCACGGTCGGTCCATTTTTTTCAACTGCTGGTCTATGGTCGGTCTATACTCGGTCTATGGTAGCTGGCTTTTGTTGCAGTATGCCATTTCTTGTTGGCATTTGAATGAACTTACAGTTCAAAGCATTCAAATTGAAGCTCTAGCACCCGCATTGGTTCAGTTCTTTCTGTGTTTGTAAGTCAAGCAGATGTAAAATGATAGGCGTGATACGGATCCAGACAACTCACACAATTTGATCGACAAGGTAAGATCTTTGATATGGGACTCCGCCTGATGTGGTTTCTGGCATTAGACGGCCTTCCTCCATCCCAGCCGAACTTGGATCTGACTGCAGGAGTCATCCATTGAAGCTAAGCTGCACTAAACTGCCCACTTTCATGTGAAAACCCTGATGTTTCTATGCATCATAAGCAGCTCCTGTAACCTGTCTGTACTATCCTGTACTCCAGGTCGGCAGTCAATCCCTGGAGCCCCCCAAGTGGTTTGCGCGCGAGACCGCACCCACATCTTTGAGATTGATTTTAAGATATTTTAAGCGTGTGAGACCGCACTGAGGTGAATCATACTCTGGTTTCGTCCTTTCATTGTAATTGATTTGTATTGATGGCCACCTCCGGCAGCTATATAAGGTTGATGCGAAATGAGGATGAGGAGCCTGCGGAACGGATGTTGGAAGGGCCAGAGTCGGACCTTTTCGGTCAAGAAGAGTCAACATTGCTGGTGACTGCTTCCTTTGCAATTGCTCAAGAGACACTCCGTTTTCCAAGCACAGGCAGTTTGTTTTGGTCGAGAGCTGAAATCACCGCGGCCGTTGAACACTGTTTTTTTGTTCTTCACTCTGTTCACGGCAAGGACTTCAGCTTTGGCTACGTGGTAGAGACCTTCTACGATCAGCCCTCTGCCGAAGTCTTCCTTTTGGCAGGCCCCAAGTCTCGTGCGGAAGACATGACACCATCACACCATCACGCATCGAGAGTCGAGCGAGTCCGGCGTTGCCGCATCCCTCTCTCGGATGAGTCCTGCGAGAGTCTCGTGGGGCGGAAGATGGGTCTCACGGGGGATCTTTGGAGTGGATTTTGGGTCGTTTCTTCGAAGCAAAACGACACTCTGCGGAGCGTTGCTCCGAAGGTGGACCAAGCAGACATTGATTCTCGTGGCAACCATGGTAGTATATATGATGATCAACATGGTCCATGGTTTCTTTGCTTTGGGATGTATCAGAGCGGATTCTAATTGATTTGACCATTTGTGTGCAGTTCTGCCGCCCTAAGACGGCTTTGATCTCGGAAATCTCCAGATCCTGGAATTTGCGTCAAATCTCCCGCGCCAGGTGCTGGCACCGCCGGAGATTTGCTGCTCTTCCGGGTGACGCTGGCGGAGGCCGTGCCAGCCGCGGTCTTCAGCTCTGGAGGTGGCAATCCAGGCAGTGTCGGACATGTTTTGCTGGTTTTATGTGTTCAGGTCAAGCACCAAGACTTGCACACTCCGAAACTAAAATAACCCCTGTGACGAAGTTTTGGACCTCTGCCAGGTCGGGACTATGTTCTTTTTAAATGTTAGTTTCAGAAAGGATAAGGATACAGTTTGAATGATATTTAATGATTACTGTAATATATATAATACATGTATATACATGTATATATATAGTAACTGTTATGTATTGCCCGGCTTTTCTGAGGTTCCAAAGTACTAAAATGCCTCATCTTGGTATGATTCCTGGAGCACTCCTCCAGCTGGACATCCTTCGTGGTTCTCGGTACTTGGACCTTGGAAACCCGATCAGATCGGACGGCGCTTGGGTGGCGATCGGACGGTCGCATGTTTTGCACTATAGGGTCGCAGTCCGGTGGTTTCTGATGGAATGGAACCTGTCAGGTTTGTCCAAAAGACACCTAGATGGATGCTTGGACCATCCAAGATGTTTCAGAAGACGTTGTCCGCTCCGCTCCACAGCAGGCCATAGCGGCATCGTGCGGTCTGCGCTGTGCTTACCCGGCGGACGCGTGCTGACGGCAGGGGAGGCGGGGGAAGACCTTCCGAACTCCCAGGAGTGCTGCAATGGGAAGAGAAAACCGGTCGTCCAGTTTCCTTTACACAAAACCTGTTTGTTTCAGCGTGTGGGAAGATATAGGGGTTGTGTGAGTGTTTCTTGGCCAGCTTAGACATTGTTAGACTATCCCACTTTCTGTTCAACAACTCAAGACTCCAGACTCATGACTGTGTCTAGTCATCATCTCTTCAGACTCCAGACTCGGACTCTGAACTCCTGACTCCAGTCAACTTCAGCTTCATGAACGGTTCCTTTTCCAACCTAAGAGCGATGGCCTCCAACTTACTAGCGATGGCCTCCCGCCAGGATGGCTGCATTTGTGCCTGGGCAGAAGCTGGAGGTGATCTCGAAGGCACCGCAGCGAGATGGACCCCTGTCGGATGGGCTGGAGAACATCTAGGGTTAAGATTTGGGGTTTTCACCAACAATACACCAGGATGTTAGATCAAGACATTTATATAACCCCAAAGTTTAATGATTTTTTTTAGTCAACGAGACCCGGTTTAAGCTTTTACACTTATCCTTCATTTGCGGGTGTTTCACTATGCCTTCTTTTGCATAGCAAGACGAATGAGCACCGCGATCTCCGGCGAGTTGAGGGTATGGGTCTCGGCGGTATCGGTCTAAGGATGTACCCCCGAGTCCTCGAGGGGGGTTGGCTGGGTGGACTGGTCACCCAGGGAGTCGAACTGCAGAGTCTCCCTATTTTAATAAGAAGAAAAGCCCTTGTAATTAGTGAAGATATCAGTAGTTGACTTAGACTTAGCTCTCTGTTGCTGATAAACCATTCGCTCAATATCACTCAATCAAGAGGAGCTATAGGAATTCCCGCCTCTGGGTCAAGTTGTGAATTGACACTCCCACCCACTGTCCCATGGTCACGTGGATGGCAGAGGCTCTACGAACAGGGGGTGAACTCCAGGTCCAGGCCCACAGTCTCAGCTCTGTCAATGGCCCGTGCTGAGATCACGATTTCCCTGCCCAAGTGTCAGCTCCCAAGAAAAACCTGTCGATGTATAGTTGAAAGCCTGGGGTCTAACTCATTGTTCAGAAGTGCATTGCATGATTTCAGCGGGATAATGAGAGGGACTTCATGTAAAGTCAATCTTTCGACCTTTTCGTGCCAATATCCCAGCACCACATTGCTATTGCACTAGTCCAAAACTTGAAACCGAAAGCAGGGGACTTATCCTGACAGGAAAGGGTCACCGTGGCAGCCAGCTGTTTCTTGACAGGTGCCAACTTTGGCCTGGAACCCACTGCAGCTTGGCCAGAAAAGCTACCATGACCTTGGCTTCTTGAGGGGCAGACTCTTGCCAATGAAGATGAGGGCAGCATTCTTGGTTTCCTTTGCTGTGGATTCCCAATTCAAAATCTGTTTGGATGCAACGGCTTCGTCGTTCAGTTTGTGAAGTATGTAAACACAAGCTTTTTGCCTGCGAAACTGCGGACTCACCCACCATTTGCTGGCCTCTTTTTTGTGTGAGACTGAGGTTTACGGTGCGGTTCGTCCAGTTGCTGCAGGGCGTGCAAGCCCCTACTGAGCTCATCGATTGGCCGAGTTCGAAAAGGAGCTTGCACGCCCAATCGGTCCTTTCTTTCCCTTCGTCCTTTCGTCTTTGGCCGACGAGGAGCCGATACTAGTGATCCCTCAACTGCAACTGCCAGACCTGCTTAGGTCATGGGTCCAGCAGGTTGGACGGGCTTGGACCTCAGACCTTGCTCTATATGTTATGTACAGTCTTGACAAGGCAGTTGAGGATGCTCTGGATGGGTGGTTGTCCAACTGAAAAGATGTGGATTTCTCGGGCGGCGGCGGCGGTACATGAAAAGGGTACATCCAACTGATCTCATCACTGACCTCTCAAGATTGAAGGGTACAATCGAAAGCAACACTGCTACTAGTAGCAAGAAGCTAGTAGTATCAAGGGCATCGCTATTAGGAATCAAGTGCATCGCTACTAGTAAGAAGCTACTAGTGAGAGAAACAATCATCCCCACTGTGTGTGCTGTGGCGCCTTCAGGTCACCTGAACCGTTCCTCGCGTGCCCCCGGGCTGGAGGGGGTACTTTTTGGGGGTTCTGATAGCCAACAATATGCAAGAACCAAAATTCGTTTGGATCAGAATATATGATATATGTCACTTTTGTCCATACTAACCACTTGTTGTTGAGACCTTCTCCATGTGTTTGGGAACTACCCTGAAGACTTGTGATCTCAGGAGGAAACAGCTTTTGTTCGAAGTTTATGACGTATTCATGTTCAGGAAAGTGTATAGATTTATGTCAGTATCAATTATAAGATACTTTCAAGATCTCTCTCAAGAACCCAAATGGCACGATGCGCGAAATTCTAAGACACTGGGTTGCCAGGGTTGAGCCGAGGTTTGAGACACAGCACCTGTAAATATGTTTCGTGCGACGAACCTCATTTGAGTCGACGCCATTTGAGTCGACGCCATATGCTATAGCCGCCATATGCCATCGGATCGCCAGCTTTCAAGCGAACAACTCGTCGCAGCACGCAACACAAGGCATTCAGTTTCTGCTTCATATTTGTTTTTCCTCATTTTGTTTTTACACCATGTAGACCATGTAGTTAGACCGTGTAGAGCCCAACACTTGAGCGGTCCTAACATAGCACACCTGTGGTCGGAACCCAATCTTTCACACACCAATGTCTTCAAAGAATATTGTGCCTGCCCTTCTTTCATGTTTGTATTGGGAGCTGGTGCTTTTGGGGCAAATCCCCCGAGATTTTCCCAAACGTTCCCACAGCAGACGTCGACGGTAATGGTTCCGCGAAGCCATGGACTGCCGTTCCTCCTTGGTTTCGCCGCCCAATGACTTTGGCTCCTACTCTCTGAAAGGAGAACTCGGGCATGGCGCATCGGGCCGCGTGCGTCTCGGCTGAGAACACCGTCACCGGTGGAAGTGCTCCACAAGCAGACAGAGATTCCTAGGTGTAGTTCGATGGTTTTTGTGACAGCACGGTCTACCAGTCTCTTGAGCCACGGTCTACCAGATCTACGATGTTCTTGTCTCGGCTGTGCCTGTTGAAGTGCTTTGTTTTTGCCAAAGAACAGCTGTGATGGACCTCTTTGCGAAAGAACATGATAGTATGTGATCGGTCCGGACAGGGAGCAACAGTTTGAAGCCGAGGGTGCAAATGGATCATAGATGATCCCAAATTCGATTTTGGTTTGAAGTACTCGTGTAGAATCGCAGAACAAAGAAATTACTGAGCCATCCTAAAGATCCTAAAGCAGATAAACCATATATGGGCAAATCCAAGCACATCCAAGAACCAATATTTATATAGGAAGCTTGTTTGGTAAATGTTTTCGGATGTCTTTTCGTATTCTCACTCCAGGATGGTCGTAGAAGGTACATTCAAAAGGAGTGAATGGGCAAGAACCCGATTCGTTGGACGTTTGCCACGGCGGAAAAAAAGCTTCGCTGCTTCGCGCATTTCTCGAAGAACTTCCACAGAAAAATCGGGTTCAATGCCTCGCTGCTCGAGGTTTGAATGCAAGAAGAAAGACTCCAACACTCCTTTGGCTGGGATGCTCAGGTGGACAGGTAGCAGAGGACTCTCAGGAGATTGCGGACTTCTTGATATTTTTTTTGTCTTCACTTATCAGAGTATTGTTCTCAAATGCCAGATGCCTGCACTTTCTCTTGATTTCTTCTGACCGCAGCAAAATCGTGGTTGGCACGACTATCATTCCCTGTAGTGTGCGCAGGCCTGAAGGACCTCTTGCTCAGTGCCAGAAATTGCTTACGAGAGAACAGGACAGCCACCAGGGTATATATATACCTGGGTCCTCAAAGACCCTCCGTTTTAGGTACTACCCAGATTTTGATTCAGAAATTGGTCTTTTCACAGAATTACGTACCTTTCTATATTTTACGTCCTTTTATGCATTTCACATGTTTTGGTGTTTTCTCAGGGATGTGAAAGAAACAATGCTTCTGAATCCAAATCCAGCCATCCACCCCCACCCAAAGCCAAAGCAGCCCATGCTGCCGTGACGGCTCCTGTTTTAGCAGAAGCGACCAGAGATCCTGCGAATCGGTCAGCGCCTTAGTGCCCTTTGAGAGCAGGCCTTTCACTCTGGATATGCTGAAAGCATGTGTATTCCTTGGTTGTTTTTTATCCATGTGCCTGTAGACTATGGAAAATAGCGGTTGCTTCAAACAAGTCCTCGCATATCCGTTTTGGTGTCCTCTAAAGCGAGCATGGAACATACAAGAGATCTATCAACAACATGCCGAATCATTTGTCTGGCGGACACACGCCTTGATAGGCGTGATGGACGACCGATGTAGTCCTCTTGCATTTGCACTGAAAACGCTAGAGGGTTTTCAATCCAAACATTTTTCTCTGCTTGGGCTTGAAGTTCCCAAATCACATGGTGGAGGGAATGGGTTTTCGGAATCAGGCTGAAGCGGCACTTCCCTTCTCGCAAACAGATTTTGGCGCAAGTACCATAAGATTGCAAAAAGTAGAGAAGCCACATCGCTAGCTTGTGACCACACGAAGCTCTGATCCAATACCCTGACCGGTACATGAAGCTGATGGCGGTGTTCATGAAGTAGGTCCCTCTTTCCTGACAGCAAAAAATTAGCAAAGCATTCGATGATGTTCAGTTTCTAAAGAACACACAACAAAAAGGAAGGACTTCCACAACTCTATAGGACAAAAAGTAAGCTTGGCATTCACTGAGGGGCAATGCGACAAAGTACCTCATCCTGCGTTTTGCCCACAACAAATCTTGAACACAAATTCTCCAAATATTTCATCAGGTGTGTTGCCATCGAACCCTTGCTCCATGTTGCTATTGGCCAGGCTGAACTCGCAGGAAAGGAGAGTGAACGCCGGGAGATCTCCCTAGAATGAGGTGAAATTCTGTTCTGCTTGCAAAAACTAGCAAAGTCTTGGGCCATCCAGGCCAGCTTGCTATCCACAGACCCCCCGTCAAGACTTGGGAAATCGTCCAGTCTTTCAATCAACGAGATGAACGAAGAAGCAATCCAATGTTTTGCTATGCCCAAATGAAAAGTGTGCCAGATGTCAATTTTGAAGAACGCGGGCAAAGAACCAGGTTGCACTAGCACTCCTTCCAAAATGGGTGGCAACTGACCCCAGGGGATATCATATAGCGTAGCGGCCCATTTGGGGCTCAGGGAAAAATCCTCGAAAGGATACGGAGTTGGAGGCTTCTCTGAACCCGCTTTGCACAAATGGCATATGCCATCACAAGGCTTGCGGGATGTCGCAGCCCTCGCAACATGCCAAAATGAGCGGCCTGAGTTCGACAGTTTGGTGAGCGCAGGGAGATCACCTTTCGTCGATATGTGGATCAGCCAGACTCTGTACCCATCATCACCCACAATTCCTTCTTCTGCAAGTTGCTGAAAGTCCCTTGCAAAGTGTTGAATCAACGTTTTCAAAGCATCAGGGTTATCATCAACCATTTCTCTCAGAATGGCAAAGCACAAAAATTGTGTTCCCCATGATTGTCCAAGAAAATTGAGGCCAAATTGTCGTCGATGAAGCGGTGCAAGATGCTTTTGCTTCTGCACATACAACTGCGTGCCCCGCCCCAAAGCTCCGTGGAAACTCATGACGAACAGCGGTAGGTGCTTCGTCGATCTGCCTTCGTCGCTATGCGACAGAATTGGAACGCAGCGCTGAAGCTGCACAGTCCCCTCCAGCGCTAGCCGGAAGATCGGATGGTTTGGAAAGAGGACCTGGTACCGTTTCCAATGTTCCCTCAAAGTTTCCTCCATTTGTGCACGATCTGCCACCCCCACTAACTGCCTCGGCAAAATGCCTTTGTTGAGTAAGTACGTCGCCCATGCACTAGGACGAACGAAAGGGCAGGCCTTCAATTGACCAGGTCCAATGTTCAAAGTCTCAACTGGAATGGGCACACTAAAACCATATTTGGTCAACACCTCATGGCATGCCGTCTCAGCATCTTCAGGCCGGATGCGTGCAAACTCTTTCAACGCAGGGCTTGCGTGTGGATTGCTTTCCACCTGCGCCTTCGCCATCTCAACAACATGGGAGCATGGGACCTTGGCCGCGCGCCAGCAGAAACAAGAAACATGCAAACTCCAATGGCAACCCAATGGCAAAGAACATGCACGCACACAGACAGACACCACTTTTTACCCACTTTGTCTCCGGCATCCTAGGGGTCACGTGTTATCCTACCCACCGTGGCTGGTCAGCGCGACCAGCAACAACATAGCAGAAATATGGAGGGGGAAACCGATGCATCGATCCATCCCCTCCTGATTCAGCACGGTTTCTGCAACCCACATGCTGGTGGAATTCGCTAATTAAGGCTGCCTCCAGCATGTGTGTTAGGTTCAAAGACTCATGCTTTGAAACCACCCACATAGTAGTGAAGCCTTCTGCAAGGTAGTTGGCAAATCGAACAGGTGGATTGCTGGTCACACCAACTTTGAAGATGCAAATACGGATCCCTATTTTTTCTCTGAGGGCTGTTACTTGTTTTTTTGCATGAGAAAGAATCCTCCCAGCCGTGGGCAAATGTTTCTTGTCACACGGCATGCATTTGTTAAACAATCCATTCGAGCTTGCTTTGCCCCAATCAAAGCTATCATAGCTGAACGCCTCCCCAAGACTCTGGAATAGTTGAGGGAGATCATGCTTGTCCTTGGTCACCCATTTCAATAGATGCGAAACACACATTGGTTGGACATACAGCTTGGACCAAGGTTCACCTGCGATGGGCACCTGGCAAGATCTTGGAGCAGGAGGGTTGGCGCATTCTAGACCGCGATCAAAGTAGTCTTGGTACAGGTTCTCGTCCTCCCAAGTCATTGCAACCTTCCTTGGTTTCCAAACGGTTCAAGGTATATACATCGACAGTAAAGCTTCTTTGCCATTCCTCACAAACTGCTTTCAAACAAGACTCGGGCATTTGACTTTTGGGTGTGGCAGGTTCACGTCAAAGTTGCCAGCAGTGCGTTTTTTGCCACTAACGGGGCACACATAGGTCAGGAGATCTAAGAGGAAGTCATCCTCTTCTTCCAGTGCCATGGCTCATCAGAATATCCAACTTTGTGTGCTTGTGGTTTCCTTTTAGATATAGAAAATATGCCAGACGCTACTAATGCATGCACATGAAATATGCAGCTTGAGAGCTTCACCACTGCGATCTAGAGGTGAGGTTTGCATGAACGAATGCACCTCTGATAGATGGGGTTCCCGGCCCCATTTCCGATGAAGCGTGCGCAGTTCCGCAGGACATTGCAGGTCTTCTTGTCATCTTTCGTGCGGTCACCTGGCAAAGGTTCAACGTCAATTGATCAGGGCCGGTTGTTTCACTGGGTTTTATGGGAGTGGGGTTTTGGTACAGGGACGGACTTGGGAACACATAAAGGTCGAGATGATTGGCCATGTTACAGTGGCAAGCTCATTGACCTTTATCCCTCGATTGCATCGACCAGCATCACGTGCGCAGCACATGCTAAGCCTTTACGATGACTCCCACAGGCACGTGGTAGTCCACGAGCCAGACTGAATTTGCTAAACTTGGGTTTTTGGCGTTTTTGCCATTCAACCGCAACAACCCCGAAAACTATAGAACATGAGCGGCCAGCAAAATGCTTGACCACACATCGTAGGTGGCTCACAGCTCACGAGCCCGAATCTTCCTTCTTGAAGGCTTTCAGGATGTTCCTAATGGAAGATCAGGTGTTAGGAGGGACCAAATGGTGGAGGGCAGGGATTGAAGAAGGCATTCCGCGTCATGCTTGCAAGGCTCTTTCCATTGGCCTCTGCAGTGGTCACCTTGGAGCACCTCGTTCTTGAATCCAGGCAGGGTGAGGGACACATGCTGGGCGCATGCATGTTAATGTATGCTTGCTAGCAGGGCACTCTTTGGTAGAGGCTTTGATTTGCTTGTCAACTTTTGCCATAAGCCTCAAAACTAGAGCTGGCCACAGAAGCTATATATTTTCCGTATGGAGATATACAAAACAGCATCACCTTTCAGCATCTAACAGCATGCAAGTAAGGTTTTGGCTCATCCAAGGTATCCTTAGGAAGGTCCTTCTTTTTGAGCTGGCTGCATTCCGCCCTCGTGCTCTCAGAGTCCTCGTACTGCTTGTTCAGGATGCCCACTGCGTCCTCCAAAGCGGCGAGAGACCTCGATCAATGGGCCGGGCTGCCCGAACACAGACTGAAGTGGTTGCTTTGCACGTTTGCAGGTGTTGGTACATGCGTGAGATTTGAGAGTCTGACTTCCTGAGACGATCTTTCCCTGAAAAGTCAGGTTTCTTTGCCAAACCAGACTCCAGGTCAGAAATCAACTCTTCAAGCTTACCGGCTCTGGCAAGAAGAGCGTCGGAAAACTTCTTCAGTTTCTGCAGCTCCTGAGGGTTGACGTAGTCGACCCTCCACCCAAGACTAGGCAAAAAGCCAAACAAGAGACAATGCATGAAGGACTCCCCATAATACATATGAACCGGGATTTTTGGCATACAAAAGAATCTGATTCACTGAGTGAATCATGGT